AGGAGGAAGGGAGGGCAGATTGCGCTTGAGTTTCTGCATCCTTTCAAAATGAGAGTTTTGACTTGCTTTACACATGGTAAAGCAATATACGGCTCACATACATTTTCCAGAGAGTGGCTAGGTTTTGTAACATCAAGAGCAGGCGAATAATGTGCAGCTTCCAGTGGCATTTGGTGATGAAAGCTGCATGAACGTGGCATGTTGAGGCCAGAGATGCTGGCACATCGCTGCATGTACAATGGGAAACAGTTTCAGCAGGGGATTGCTGATGCATTTTGCTCAGAATGCAAGCTGCTTGGACTTCCCTTGACAATAGAAGGAAGCAAACAGCTTTTTATTCCTCTGTGGTATAGCTGAAGCTCCTTATTTTTGATAGATGTAGCTAGCGATCAGCCATTGTGTCCTGAATGTAGTATATCAAGGATTCCTAAAGAAAGCGCTTTTTCTGTTGTTGTTGTATCATTGGATCAAATAGCCTAAAATTAGCAAAGGTGCTGGTTTAAAGGGTGTGTTCTGGGGTAAGTAGAAAGTAAAAACTTCTTGGCTACATTCCCCCATAGGAATGTAAACAGTTTTTACTTTAAAATCCATATTCTACATGATCTTTAGTTCAAAGCCATGAGGTGACTGGGTTATAACATGTCCTTTTTCATTCTTCCCTTCTCATTTCTCAGCTTAATACAAAGACTTTCCATAAATGTTTTTCTGCTCCGGCTCTGCAGAAGCTCCATCCATATCCCCACATTCTTTCTAATACTCATTTTTTTCCTTGACTTTCTCTGTTCCTGCTATTACTGTAAGTAATTTAAAGAACAAAATGTTTTCACTGAATCTGTTTACCTTGTAACAAGTTAATTTTGGGGTTTTTTTCCTATTACCCGCACCTTTCTCTCCCACACTTAAAATTTGTCAAGGGGACAAAATTGTCAGACAGGCACACTGCAAGACTGTAGCTACTGACTCCAGCTAACAGCGAGCATCGTTGTGTCACAGTGGTAATCGAATAGTCTGGCTCCTCTGGGCCTTTATATACTAACTTGTTAGATGCTATTATAGGATCAGAATTCCTCCAGTCTAACGTAAGTAATCTTGGCCAGAGAGTTTCCATTGCCGATAGCTTGTGCCTTCATTCCATTTCAGAGCAACTGCTTTATTTTTATTGGTTTGCTTTATGGAGCAAAATGAGTGTCTCCATTCTCCTCTTCTTCCCTGTCCTCCAAAATATTCCTGTTAATGAAGCCAAAGAGAAGAGCATTGCTCCCAATCCAATGTACATAGTGGTGGTAAATGCCACCTTTGAATCTTTGCGTGCAGCTAAAGCCCTAAACGGGTAATGCAGGTTGTAACGCTTGTGTCCCTGTGAACAGCTACCTTGTGAGAAAGCATCACAGTCCTGCATGGCTGTGGACTGCTTTGAATGCTCAATGTGGAGCCTTCCAGATGTTTTACAAGTTAAGAACTGAAAAATTTATAAAAAATTTTAATTTTTCCAACTTGGGCAAACACATCTAAATGTTTTTCTCAAAAGTTTTCAAGCCACTGTCAAGCTTTCTCTTCCCAGAAAGCAAAGTCTTAAGCTAGCTTTAAAAGCTTTAAATTTAAAATACAAAAATTCCCCAGTGTCTCTGTAATAGTTCCGACAAATTGTTTTGCAGACCATAGAAGTTGTATTGTAACACAGGACCCCAAAGCTGCCACAGACGCTGGCTTTTCCTTTTGAGCATTTGAACAGAAATTTTCATTTTAATAGTGTTCCAGTTCACTATTGATCTGTAAAGGCAGGTCTGAGGGTTGCCACATGCCAGTATAAGAACCATTGCTGAAGCTGCTGGTCTCAACTCCTCTTTGTGTAGACTTCTTTGCAAGTTTTAAAGCATGAGCAGAAACGTAGAGTCCCTTTGGATGCCAAAATGTGGATCTTAGTGCTGGAAGTACCCATTAGTGTTTCATTTTTAACTTCCACAGGTCATAAGAGGCTACACAAGGTTAATTTGAGAGTAAAAAAAAAAATTGTGTAGCTTTCCAAAGGAGGTAAAAGAAACTGAGTAATGTCTAAAAAGCCTTATAAATTCAGGCTAAAATTAAAGGGGGGTGGGGGAAGACAAAACACAGACCCCTTCTCAGACTGCTGAAGCATGAGTTACATTCCCAGACAGTTAATACAAGCAGAGGAGCTAAAGAAAATCTATTTGTCGTCATCTTGCAATTTTAATGTCCAGATATTTTTGCCTGGAAGGATTGATTACACACGTTACACCATACATTAAAGACAGCAGCAACTTTAACCTTTCAGTTCAGGAATGTGCTATTTCAGGGCAACACTAAGCAGATAATCACTATACCCGCAAGAAAAGCTTGGGTTGCTGTTTTTCTTTTTTTTTTTTTTAATCTTGTATTATATAAACAATGGGGGTTTTGGAGCCTGCAGATCCCCTCCAAATTCAAAAGGAAATTCCTGCCAAAGGAGGGGTTTAGTGTGGTCAATTATAAAATTACAGCTCACCTGGCAGCATTTCAGGAGCCCTGCGGGTGTGGAATGGAATGAAGCAGCATACTGGGAAGACATTCTCTATGGCCATCGGTTTTACATACTATTAGAGACTATTGGTTACTAGAGCAGGTCTTCTGGCATAAAGGTTTTGAGTTATATTGATATTTGTCGGTTACTATGACTTTTTTTTTTTCCCCCCCCTTCAATTGCATCATACCCTTAAAAAAATGGTGGTAAGTGAGAGATCTGCATGCTTTGGAGTTTGTTTAATCTCCGCTTCAGTCTATACAATGCACAAGTCATAATGTTAACACTTTTTCTTACAACTTCTTCATTCACGTTCACAACTAATTTGGATTTCAGTTTGCTGTTTTTAATCTTTATTTAGTCTAATTTTGTACTTATTTTTCTGTTGTTCTGTTGCCCCCTGATTTTGCTAAGGTTTTGGTCTTTGTCTGTACTGTACTGGGGATGCTTTTCCAGCAGTTAAATGACTGACCAGGATTGTAATGCACAGAGAAATTTTCCTCGGTCTTATTTTTTTCTCTGTTAGGTTATAGATGGGAAAGGGACGAGTGGTGCTGATCCACCATATAATCTGAAGTATTCTAATAGGCATTTTTGTTGGATCTTTGTTAGGAAAACACCCAATGGCAGCCTTTATAAATGTGAAGCTTTTTTCTTTTTTTTAAGTGCACAAAACTACTTATATGAAATAAGCATCTAAATATTTTAACAGAGAAGGAAAAATGATTGTTTTATAGCAAGAGAGAGCTTGGATCTTAATGGTGCAGTTTGATATTTCTGAAGTCCAGCCAAACAAACTCTCAAAGATGTTGATTATGCTTGTTAGAAAGCTGAGATAACCGAGTCTGAAAGCAGAATGGCATCAGTAGCAGAACTGATCTGCGGGTGGGGGGAACTAAGGACTTGCTGTCTGTCCGAGGCTCTTCCCAGCCTGCGTGCGGAGTACGTAGGGCAGCCTGCTTTAAGATCTTTTGTGAATCAAAAGATGTTTGTGGAGGGAAGTTCTAGATTTGCTCTGCTGTGCTTTGTGTTTCAGTACCTGATGTGTCTCTGTATATCTCCACTGTATATACAACAGCACATTGATGTCTGGTTGTCCTTACTAGTCCTAGTTCTCTCTGTATCTTGTCCAGTAGTGTACTGTTGCTGGTAATGGACTTCTGTGGACACTGGTGTGTCGCTAGTATGTTATTTTGGCTGTAAAACTCTTGGTTTGTGGTTAGTTCTTTATTTTTTTGAAATATTTTTTTGTTCCGGTCACTGTCTGTGCTAGCAGTGGCTTTGCCTATCCGTTGCCTTGAAGGTACAGGTGGAGTAATGTCCCCTTTGACCGACATTACTCCTAGCGTGTGCTCATGCGGATGCCTACACTGTTAAGACTGTAGTTTCCATAACTGCTTCATGTGCACTAAGCACCCTTGTGGAATCCTGCTGAGAGTTTCTTAAAGACTTCAGTGAAAAATCCCTCTAGCATGAGGTGGGAACGGCAACTGTTGGAGTGCCAAAACCAGCAGGTCCTGAATTGGTCCCCTCAAAATACTTTTACAGGAGCGTTAACTTTCTGGATTGATTTTTGTACTGATGTTTAAATGCACTTCTGTCTTCTGTACTGCAGCTTGGGGGCAAAATAAGGTGTTTTGAATTCAAAACAATGTTCAATTGGTCATGAAAGAGCTAATGCGAAACATTTACTCATTGGCAGATCTTTTTCCAATTCTTAAAAGAGAGTATTTTTGCCAAGAGACACGGGCAGAACAATGCTGTCAGTCTTCTGTAGCTGAAGTCTGTTGTGTCTGGAGGTATTACAACACCCCTAACTTTTCCTGGCGTTTTGAGCCCAGTGCTCTATCGGACACATGCACAATGCCTGCTGCTATCCAAGGACTACGTTTGGATACTCAAATCAAGTACTGCACCTTCAACCTCCTCCTAACCTGGTCCGTTCTAAGTAGACATTGAGAAAAACGGAGTATGTAGAGGTTGTATCATCCATGGGGGAAGATGAGCATATGGTGTATATACCCTGTTGTGTATACACCAACAATTACCCATCAGCAGTTGAAGAATGGCTTAAAAAAAATAATTAAAAAAAAAAATCAATGCAAGAAAATAACCAGCAGGATTTTACAACTGAAATGTTGGTTTGTCTTCTCATCTATTTTTTATGAGATTGAACCACTGGAACTTGGGGACAAGATGAGTCTGACCATATTGCAACAATCTGTCCGCTACAGTTGCAGTTCTTCATGACAAGCATTCAAAGTGTTAACTAAAACCATTGAAGCAACATACCTGCCATTAAAACTTGAATCCAGAAAAATAACTCCATGAATCTTTGCACTACCGAGTGGAATGGCCTTTAACGCTGTAGATAGATCGGTTTGCTGTTTGCAGTTCGGCTGGTGTTACACTGCAAAGACTGACTCTCTTTTTCTTTCCTTTCCTTGTCTTCCCCTGGATTGCATTGGAATTCTTGCTGCAGATGATGAACCAGCTGGGCCAATGTAAGTGCATTTTAAGAAAAAAACATTACTGAGCTTAATCTGAGGGTTTATGGGAGTTTACAGTACCAAAGATTGATATTAGGTGTGACATTACTGATGGTAATGGACCCTTTCATTTGTTAGTGTTGGAGTAAAGAAAAGTGATAGCTGCGAGGTTCTTGCTAGAAAAACAAATATTGCTGAAGGAGTTAGAAACAAATATTTGTGCTGAAGCCACCTGTGGTCTCCCTGACTGCATGGTGTAGCAGATTTGATATTTTTTTTTACAAATATCTCAAGTAATTGGCAAAGTAGGGGGGCGGGGGGAGCTTCAGTTGTAAAAAAAGGAAGCAGTAAGACTAGGAAGCAGAATGACAGATGTAGGAGGTGAATTGCACAGGGCAGGAAGGTGGCAACACACAGTCTAAAAGTCATGTTGTCTTTAGCCACTTAACAGGAGAAAGAATGAAATGCTGTTTAACTTAGTATGTACAAAGACATTTTTTCCTACAGCTATGATTGATTTTTGGTGCATGGATTTTTTTGGTTTTTTTTTTTTTTTTCTTATTTCTCCAGGAAAATCAATTCTACAAACAATCATAAAGATAAAAACTTACGCCAGAGAAACACAAATTAAAAATGCTTATCATGTAAGTATGACTCGCACACATCTCAGAAACGGTCAGGCTAAAGTCCTCCTTTTTCTGTAGTGGTTGGGGTGCGTAAACATAACTTGTTCCATGTATTAAAAAGTTACCGGCTGCTCAGAGGGTGGCGCTAGCCTTCCTGCTGCGCTTCAAAGAGCACTGGGGGTTATCAAAAGATTTCTTTCATAAAGTATGCAGGTAGTTTAATGATCCAGTAGCTGTCAAACTCTACATAATCACTACTATTGCTAATAAAAAAAAACCCCAAATCCCTCCTCGTTGAATCTTAAAAATCTGGAAGCTAACCTTGGTTGGGAAGCCTTCATCTTCATTTAAGACTGAAATGGATGTTAAGCACTTTGATTGCACGCTGTTATGGCACGTGATGTTGAAAATGCTGTCAGGCATTGACTAGCACCTTTTCTCATTTCTTTTTTAGAGCTTTAAGTTTCTGAGAGACTGATGGCAATATGACCTGCTAAATTTAAGGGTTGGAACTCTTGGTTCTAGAACTCCAGTTCTGTCTGATTTGTTTTTTTTTTTTTTTCCTTTCCTTTTCAAGTGAGCAACAATATGACTGTCTAAAGCATGCCTTATTTAGCCTCTCCTGTAAGGATGACCTAGCCAGATAAATTTTAATAATGCTTCAGTGTAGAAGGTGTAAACTATTTTGGGCTTGATGTGCTGTGAATGTTGCTTTTTTTTTTTTTTCCCCTTAATCTATTTAAACATTAGAAGTAGTAAGTCAGTTCACGCATGCGCCATTTTTTACTTCCTGTAGCTGTTAAAATTGGCAAAGCTCTAAAACGCACTGCTGCCATCTAGTGATACTTTTTGTAAAGTACAGCAAAACTTAAAAATATATACAGTATATATTTATATTTTGGGGGAGGGGGAAAACCAAAATACAGTAATTGTGTTTCATTTTTAAGCTGCTGATACTCATTCCTTACTGTATGTCTGAAAGATGAGAGAATTATACTGTTCTGGTACTTAGAGAAGTAATATAAATTTGAAATTATCTTAAGGGCTTAACCTATATAGAGAGACTTGGGTGTCCTATATCAGACTTCAAAACCTGGAATGGTTCGACGTGGTGGTGGTGGAGTGCAGTTGAAAACAAAACTTCAGTTTATAAATATATATATATGATTGCTTTTTAAGTGATTTTTTTTTTTTTGTTAACTCATGTAAATTCTCAAATCCTTTTGCACTGACGTGTTCAACATATTCTTGTACATTCAATTCAGGCAAACTTTTATAATTTTCTTTTTTTGTTTGTTTGTTTAAATGATGAAATGTTACAGCATGGTGATATTCTATGCAACTAGTTATACTCTTTAGTTTGACACTGTAATTTCTCATGATTTAAAGATTGTAGAAATAGACCTAACAGGGTTCTCATGATGTGCGTAACTGTAGATGCATGAACTTGTGTTCTGTGTATTTGTTGAAGTGCAATGATGTATAAAAAGTGGATTCACCTGTTTTTAAAAATAAAACACTGACCAAAAAAAAATGCGTGAGACTTTTTCAGATATTTAATTGCACTTAAGCTTGCGTATCCTGAGTGCTGGGTATCCTGGAGCATGCATTCCAGTGGTAATACGCTGGTATTTCTCAACCTTCTGTGAGTTTTTTCAGCTCCTTCTCCACATCTTCCACAAAAGCTGGGAAATTCTGATCCATAAGACATAAGCGAATGAATGGCCCCAGCTCTTGTGCACGCCATACTGAATGCCGATACACAAGGGGGAGCTCAAACTTCTTTTTCAGCACAGACTGCAAAAGTAAAAAAACCAAAGGTGTTGCACTAATCTTAGACATAAAAGGTAATGGTACATTTTTTTTGTAACAATGCAGCTACATCAAAGTTTTCCTTCGGTATTTAATAAAGACGCACCTGCCTTGTTGTTAATGCTGTCTGAATACTTTCAGTCAGATATGATTTTGGTGTGTGAGTTTTTCTCTGATACCTAGCTTCAATTCCAGTATAGCTTTTACACAACTTTGAATTCCTTTGCAGTTGTTTAAATCAGAAATGCCAGTTTCCTGGTTAAAATGGTTTCATTGTGAATATCCATTCTGTGTAAGAGAAAAGGATCCCATACGAAGCGTATGTACTGCCACTTGAATTGTGTAAGGAGAACCAAGTATGCAGTTCTAAGCTCTTAATTTAGCAAGATTGTCTTCTAGAAGTAAATTATGGGGCTTTTTTAAGAGTTAAAACATCCTTTTCATGCCCATTTAAGCTTCTCCCCCAGCTTGGTGGTGGGCAAACTACATGCATCGTGTCACTTTACAGTGTAAAACTAGTGGCAGCAGAGTGGAAGATGTACAACATCATGCACTGAGTTTGAGGAAGCCATGACCATCTCCTAGCATCCATAGGCGATGCCACTCTCAGCCATTAGATACACAGAGAAATGCACAAGTCTAATGGACCGGTAGGTTATTGGGCAACCCCTGAGCACTTTCTGCGCTGCTGTTCCTATGACAACAGGCTGAAGCAGCTAGACTAAAACTTTATTGTGGCGGGCTGCCAGCTTTCCTGCTGGATGTAAGCCATGTTAAAGAAATAGCAACTTCACAGTTCAAAGGCCCTACTGCAGCCAGGGCTGCTGCTCGTTGTAAACTGTGTTACTCATACTATGTGTTAATGACTGAGTGTTTGCACCAAAATTTTTTCCATCATTTGGGCTGTGAATGTTCTGTAGACCTCACCACCCACTCAGCCTTTAACTTTCTTTACCCGTCTGTGCTGAAGTCATTAAAGCTGCAGCATCAGTTATGGATGCTTTTTGGATACTTTTGAAGGGGAGAGCAGAAGCAAAGAAAATCACTGAAGTGCTCCTTTCATGATGAGGTAGGTGTGATGTGCAGAGCCAATCCAAGGTGAATGGTGTTATTACAAGGGGAATGCCTAATGCTAGTTAGTCTGTATGTGGCTTTAAAAAACTTCACATGCCTAGTTTGGCCTCTTTTTTTTGATATGCTGATGTGAGAGGCACAGGCTAAACCAAGTCTTTCCATCTGGGAAAGTCAGAATTGCTGCTAAGTTCAGTCAGGCCCTAGCTTCTGCTGCTTGAACCTGAAAGAGTGCAGGACAACTGGCAGATGGGCTGGGCAGCTGGAGCATCACTGTGTGACTTGGGGGGGGGGGGGAACCCAACCATTAATATTTTTGCTAATCTTATTGGTTTACATTGTAGTATTGCTCTTTTCCTGGGTCACGCCATAGTCTTGGCTGGAGAAAAATATCTTTAAACACAAATTGAAGACTGTTGAATATCTTTTTGTTTTTAAAAAAAAAAACAACAAAACAAAACACCAAAAACCCAAACAGCCCCACAACTGCAAGAAAATGCTTAAAACCAGTGCTTCTGCTAGGTTCCTGAAGTGGTGGAAATGGAGAAATTTAAGTCCAGAGTGTTCCAGACCACCAGTTGAAAGGGTGTGTTTCTGAAGTTCAAGTGGGGAACAGCCCTGAGCAAACTGTGATGGCAAGCCTGTGGGTCAGGGTGTGGGAGATCCTAGCTCAGAGCTCAGTTGTGTTAAACTGACTAAGAAGTAGAGGGGCAAGTAGAGGAAGATGCAGGAAACTACTAGAGCAAGGAGTCTTTTTGTGCCAGGGAATTTGTTACTAATTCAAGCGAGAGATGGATGAATGTGTACAGCAAATACAGGCCTCACTGGCAGAAAGCTTTGTTTGAAGCAGGTATCATGCTCCCGTCTTATACAGGGACCACAGAATAGCAGTTCTTGGAAGCGAAGTTGTTCTTTATACTGTTGGTATTAATTTACACTTCCTAGTATTGACTCTTAAAGGAGAGATTGGTCATGAAAAATACGGTGCTAAAGGCAGACTGCCGTGTTTGGTCACTCTCACTTGTTGATGCACTCGTGCTGCATTGTACAAGGACAGTAACAAAGCTGTTGGGAACAAAACAGCAGGGCATGTAATACAGCTCTCGCCACCGAGATGAGAGTACAGGGAACTCTGCTGTCTGAAAACAGAGGTGTTTAAAAGGCTTTTTTGGGTTTGAGAGGACAGATTTGTAATAGGGAGCATAGGAGTTGTCCCTTAAACCACTGATGTGAAGCAACATTGACTTGATCATCCTATCAACATGGAAAAAGGGTAAGAAAGACCCATAGAAGCGACTGCACAAAACCAGAGAGGTTGGAGAGTTTTCTCCTCAATCGTCTGATTCTGTACTGTCCCAAACTCACACAGTAAACAAGCAAGAGTTAACTTCCAGTTATTCTTAAACATGGCCTTACCCTGGACTTCTCAGTGAAGGCGTCAATTGAATTAAGGGATCTTTTGTGGTGTGTCAAGGATGCTTGATATTTTCAGACTTAAGCTATGACTGCAGAGGTGTTTCTGCAGAGCCAAAGAGCGACAAAGCCTTTTACTTGGATGTGACCTCTGGGCATTTGTTTGCTCTCAGTGTGGTGGTTTGTGGTGGCTTCTTAGGCAAATGCAGTAATTAATTACACCATGAAAATACCTGGTTTTGCAGCTTACTTCCTAGCTCCAGGTCATTACACGTGATCCTGTGTTTCTGTTGGTATAGCTGATGGCAGCCTGATGTTCAGCAAAGACGTTTACCAGATGTTTACAGCATATGAGATAGCTTGCTCGCTCTCTCTGTGCCCGAGAGATTCAGTTACAGGATCCAAGTATTAGAAATTTTTTTTTTTTTTTTTTTTTTTACCTGTGCTAGCTGTGTTACAGATCTTCTTTCTCCAAGGCAGGAATCTGGTAGAGGCTCATCTGGCTAGAAAATCAAATGCAAATAAGGGCTTGTTACCAAGCAGACTGTGGGTATGTGCAAGAAGGGAAGTAGTTCCATTTTTAGAGATAACGGGAAGAGAATGTGCTCAGCTACCTTATGCAGAAAAAAAGGCATCTTTTTATGGAACCTGAATGCACATCTGCTCAAGTCCTTGAAAATGAAAGACATTAAATAATGGGCCCATAGTTAAACTGTCATGTCTAAACTAAGATAACTTTTAAACTACTTACTGGAAGAAACTTTAAAAAATGCTGTGTATGAATGCTCACCAGGAGCATGCTTTTTTCCTTCCCATGGGTCACATCACAGAAAAGATGGTTTAAGTTGTCAATTCTATTTTCTGAGCAAGGTTTTTAGTCTTAACTTCTGGAGAAAGAGCATTATTAATACCAATAGTATGACTGTTGGTGTTCAATAGCATTCTGCCATGAAATACTTTCTTTACCTTTCATTCTTTGCTTTAGTTTATCAGGAAATGAGCAAAGCCGAAAGTATAGATAATCTGCTTAAAGAACAAACAATAAATCTTGAGTGTCAGCTGTTGAAGGTCTCCCATATGCCTTCCTGGAGTCAAATTAGCAATATATTTTTTTCTCCGCGCTTTCTCTACCAAATATGATTCCACTGTCCAGTGGCGTAGGACATTCCTAGATTATATAATGAAAATGATATGAAGTATGATATGATAGGAAATATCATCAAAATTATGTAGCTGAAAGCTTTGACATTCCTTTTTCAGGGCTCAGTCTTGGTCCTGGTATTTTTGTCACGTACCCAGGAGCTACCCTGTCTAAGTTAGCTGCAGGGATCTTTTGTAGAGCTGGTAAATGTGATCCTCTGGATACCCAAGAAAGCATACATTTAAGAATTAGGCACCCTCAGAAATACTGTCTGACTACCTTTTCCAATTACCTTAGGTCTTTGTCTTGGAGAAGGGAAACTTTCTGTTCCTACCCTGAAATCGCTTTTAAATGTGTCAGGTTAAGCTGAAATTGATACAATTGCTATATTTACAATTATTAACACTGCAAAACAGTAGGTAAATGCAAAAAGCAGAACACACTTCATGGTTACTTAAATGGCTCTGATCATTTTTGTTACCCTGTGTAATTTATTTGAAAGACTGCCAGGTGGTTCCCAGCAGCCTTAGCTGAAAACCACACTGATGAAATTGTAGATGTGTTTTGTTGGCAACTATTCAGCTCTCATCGTCTGCCCCCTCTTCTTGTTTATTAACCTTGGCAGAAAGCATCTAAGTCTTCCACCAAACCATACCACCATCTGATTGGGAATTGGTAAGTAACGCTTGGCTGTAGCCTTCACTGCCATTTCTTTTAATGGTTAGTAACTTCCTATTGTTGCCTGAGCCCTGCATAAATTGTTTATTTCCAGGGTCCTTAGTTAAGGAAAAGTTCAAAACCCAGAGCAAAGCTTTTTCCACCTATAAATCTCATTCCATATGCTTGCTAATATTCTTCCTATGATAACATGAAATGTGTATATTAATCTCAGTTATTAGTGACCTTTTGGAGGCCAAAACAAAGGCATCTGATTGCTCTGAGGTACATTACAATAAGCTTGAGGAGCTAGAACCCCTTTTTTGCACATCGTTCTGTCAGGTTTTTTTTCAGGCACACTAAGAACACAGGGAGATGATAGCCAGCCTCAGCAGCTGACTTGCTGAATAACTCTAGCCCTGTTCACTAA